GTCAACTTAACCTGGACAGTGAATGACGCAGCGTCAGCCTCCTACACATATAGGATAGAGGTTACAAGTGTCTCTTTTAATGACAACCTGACATCGAACGTCACCATGGCTGAGGTTCCTGGATTAATCCCTGGGACACTGTACAATTTTAAGGTCTTTGCAGTAGCAGCTGATAATCATACAGAAGGAGAAGGAGCATTCACAAGCCTGTATACAAGTAAGTGGCTGTTTCTGAGTTGTGTTTCTGGTGTTTTGTGATTTGCTGTGCAAGCATAGGGCTCTACCTACTTGAATGAGGCTTCTAATTCATCACTGATATGTGCAGAGGGGATAGTTTTTCTCCTGGAGCACGTTGTGAGCAATCTTCCAAAGTGTGGGCTTTTGGAGTGCAAAAGAAGCACAACCCAGATGGTGTTTGAATTTGTCACTGGTGCCTGCAAAACAGAATTTTCCCAAGGACTTCTCTCTCCCTGAAATCCGAGTGTTGGCACAGCGGTCAAGCATGCTGTTGATTCTGAATGCAGGAGATAGATGAATCCCACTCAAGATGTCTCTTTCTCACTTTTCTCTTACAAGCCCATTGATGGCAAATCCATCAGGAGCCTCTGGTGCTCTTGCCGTGGTGCTTATGCAGTCTTAGTGAGAAGTGATGTGAAGAAAGTGAAGTAGTCGTGTGTCTGTGGCTTTTTTTTCTTTCTTTGTTTTTCTGTTGTTGTTTTTGAGTGGGTATTCTTGCAGGTTTAATGGAGTGCTGTCTTGCCTTTCCCAGAGCTCAGCTCGGTGCTTGGTCTCAAGGCTGAGTATGTTGGTGTGACTTCTGTCAACCTAACCTGGACAGTGAATGACACAGCTTTGACTGCCTACACGTATAGGATAGAGGTTAGGAGTGCTAATTCCGTTAGCAACGAAATGTCAGATATCAACAAAATTGAAATCACTGGGTTAATCCCTGGAACATCCTATAACTTCAAAGTATTTGCAACACCAGTCAACAGTACAACTGAAGAAGAAGGATTGTCCTTAAACCTGTACATAAGTAAGGAACTATTGGTGCCTCTTAATTCCAGATAAACTTGCAGTCCATTTTAAACAGCTCAGCTTTTAACCTTTGGTTTCTGATGTAACAGTGTTTCACAATGCAATGATTCTTTCTTCCTGGAGCTAGAAAAAAAAATAGGTTGGTGTTATTGAAATGCTGTATGGCTACAATTAGTGCTCAGTCAGCGCGGAATAAGGGAATGTGACTGGCATTTTTTCTCTCCGTAATTCTTTATCTTGACGGCTTGTTCTCCTGCCTCTCCTAGATCCCAGACCGGTGCTTCGTGTCTTGGCAGAGTATGTTGGTGTGACTTCTGTCAACTTAACCTGGATAGTGAATGACACAGCTTCGGACACCTACACATACAGAATAGAGGTTAGCAATGGGCACTCCATTAACAATGAAACATCAAATATCACAGAAACTGAAATTACTGGCTTAACCCCTGGGACGCCGTACACTTTCACAGTCTTTGCAGTAGCAGCTGATGGTGAGACAGAAGGAGCATCCATAAGCCTGTATACAAGTAAGTGACATTTTCTTGCAGTCGTGTTTCTGGAGGATTGTGTTTTGCTGTACATCACAGGGCTCTGCATA